CAAGGCCAACCAAAGTGCTGTACAGACAGAACAACAGGTAACACACAAAGCAAAATACAAAATGAGGTAAATCAGAATATAGACATAAAAACGATGCAGATAATGACGACTAACCAGTGTGGAGCATACAGGTTCAAAACACAGATCATCTGGTGTTGAAAGCCACCGAATAGTATTGGGTTTTTAAACTGGACTTGAAAACCGAGAGGGAGGGGGCCTGTTTGACAAGCAGAGGTAACTCGTTCCAAAGTCTTGGTTTTGCTACAGAGAAGGCCCTGTCACCTCTTCGCTTAAGACGAGTTCCTGGAACTGTGAGGAGCAACTTTATACCTGGATTATTGAGCATGGACTTTGTTGCAGACATGTTCCTGTTTTTAGTATTTTATATTGCTTTGTAATGTAGCTGTTTTTGTTCCTTTTTTATATAATTTCTTCCATTTACTTTTCATTGTATATTCTTTTTTATGATTGTCTACTGTGGTCATCATTCCTTGTTTAAAACAGGTCTCTTGTAAACGAGTTCTCGAGGCTCAATGAGACTAACCTGTATAAATAAAGGTTGAATTGAATAAAAAAAAAAAACACACACAAGTAACAAAACCCAAAAGACACAAGAAACTAAACAAATAAAGAGAAAAACAGTCTATGACAAGCACATAATCAAAAATGAAATGATTACAATAACAAATTAATCAAGAAATTCAGTATAATTTTACAAAATCCTTGATAATTAGTAACATCAATAACTAATATATGAAGTACACATTTCTCTGGCATAATTTTTTTTAAATTGGTTCAATCTTTATTTATACATGTTAGACTCATTGAGCCTCGAGAACTCATTTACAAGAGAGACCATCATAATTTGAGACACCAGTTTCATACATTTTAATGAGTTTTTCCAAACAAAGATATTTAAAAACTCATTGTAGTATGCCCAAGTTTTTACTTTGTATTTATATATTTTTAACGTTTCCCTGTTTCTGTTTTTCTATGTTTTGTACTCAGGAGCTTTGTGCTATGCTGAACTTGGTACCATGA